CATATTTAAATGGGAACATATTCCATAGCCACAGTCACTTTAGTTCATAGTCCTAAATTAATTGTATGGTGTGTGTGTATCAGCTTCTGACCTAGAACTTCGTCAACCTAGGTCGCGAAAAGTGATTTGAGGACCAATAGTTGGGTCTTTCCACCAATTATACCAATAGGCCTCGTGAGGCTATTAAATTTCACCTAGTCTTGTCTCCAAAAAGATTATCATCCAGGGGGTTCTGCAGTTTCGACCCAAAAACGGTCTCTTCACCACCCCCTACAACAGCCTAAATAGGGTTGTGAGTATCGTTGGGACGTTATTACGCATAATTATTTCCAAAGTTAGACCGTGGACGTAATACATTCCCAGACGTTTCGCTGTCATCGTAGTCGGCATCGTCAGTGAGTTTTACCATAACTGTTTAGCACACGTCTGGTCAAAGGATCAGCTTCACTTGTCTCTTTGACGAGTTGTATTATGGTGCTACGAATGGCAAAACTCACTGACGATGCCGACTACGATGCCGGCGAAACGTCTGGGAATGCACCACGTCCACGGTCCGACTTTGGAAATAATTATGCATACAATGGAGTCTAGACAAGGTGCGTTCCTCTAAGTAGTCCTACCAATAAGACCAAGTTGCGAAAACAAGGTCAAACAACTTCGATACAACGAAAGGAGACTGCGACGACACAAAAGGCCACAACCTCTTGGTCTTCATATCTTAATACGAGATGTTTGTAAGTGATCCTTGTGTAAATAAGGAATTTAATATTGGAAAGGCCTAAGCGTCTCTGGACTTCACCTCTGCCCTGAGACCCAAACGCACTCGTGGAAGTGTGAGGTAGTTGTTACCGTGTCTAGTTTGTAAGCTGCACTACCTGGGCTCGAGTCCCACTATGGGCGTCCATGAGGACCAGGTGAGGTAGAAGCTACAATCCACACTGGATGATAGTACCTTCTGAAAAGCAAGGCTGTAAAATTCAATCAAAAAAATCAGGCCTACACATACCATCGTGAGAAAATTTAACTATTGGTCCTTCATCAAATTAAACAAAACAAGCTGCAACATCTCACTTCTTACTTGCTTATCGAAAATTAGTTGAGCTGTGCCCTTTTAAGCGGATTTAGTGAGACCTATTCACATACCCCACTGTGCTAAATGTGTTGATTCAAGACTGCCGTTTAGTCCTCAATCCTCTTACTACAAGTCCTATCAGAGTCTCCTTCTTGATCTCATCTTCCTGGTTGAGAGATTTCACGCTCTATCCATGCGACGGATATAATTATTTATCGCTGAATCATCAAAAATAATTAGCAATTCATTAATAGTATTGCTGGACTTTAACTCGCTTGGTTTTGATAATTATCATATAGTCCAGTTGATTGACAGATTATAAATAAGAACTGTAGTCACTCAAAAGGAAAACATAGCTACGTAAAATTCAACCAAGACTTTAAGTCGACTTATATTATTGTGGGAAAATTGAACTATCAGTCCTCCATAGCATCCGACTTGAAGTAAATACAGCTTTTATTGCGGATCAAAGGTAGTTTCGAAACCTAAGCAATGGCAACATTTTAAAATCTATAATAATATCAAGAGAAATATAGAATTAAGCCATGAATTCTTGTTTTTTTTTAATTTTTTGAATAAGATCGAGCTAAAATGTCCCATCTATATAATGAAATGTATAATGATGGCTCCTCGCTCTGACAATGTTTCATTTAGCAAATAAGAGCTGAGCACAGATTTCAGGCCGAAGAATTTCTAGCATAATCCGTTCCCATCTGTAAGGCAAGCCATCGTTCTCCAGTAAGGCCAATTCACGAATCGCTTTCAATCAATGTTACCTTAGACATGAAAAGCCAATTCACATTAAATCTGTTGCAAATAATGATCAGACATATTATCAAAATAATTCATATAAATTTAACTACACTGATTACACATTAAATGAATGAGAATGACTCGATTGTATGAAGAGAGAGATCCATTCATTGACTTATATAAAGTAGATTGTAAGGACAGAGAAGTTGAAATAACTATCTGAAGTGTTGAGAATGAAAAAAAAAATTAAAATTCATTGTAAGTTAAAAAAGTTTTAACTTGGCAATGTAATTAAATCCATCTTAATCGAATTTTTGAATTCATATAGGTCTCGGTAGCGCTGGCAGAATCACTCTAGCCACCGACATTAAAAATGTAGGAGTAAATGTATAAGCCCCTAAAGTACCGGTCTCCAGTAAATTAGGGCTGAAAACCGGATACACTAGATTCATGGCTGTAATTGGTAGTTTATATTGGCTGTATGCCATCTGTGCACCAATAAGCCCAAAAAATGCAAGAATACAGAGACGTTCATCAAATTTCAACAAAACTTTATATAGAAGGTATAAAGACCAAGATGGTGTGATCTTTTGTGTGGTCGTAGTTTCCTTTCGTTGTAAACGTAGTTTTACCTTGTTTTCGCAACTTGGTCATATTGGTAGGAAAACTTGGAGGAACACACCTAGTTTGGAGTCCATTGTATACATGATAATTTCCAGAGTCAGAAAGTGGACGTGGTACATTCCCAAACGTTTCGCCGTCATCGTCAGTGAGTCTTGCCATTCTTAGAAGCACACTACAACTCGTCAAACCAACAAGTGAAGCCGATCCTTTGACCAAATACATACTAAACAGCTGTGGTAACTCTCCTTCTGTCCTGGGCTATTCACCTATCCTATCATATCACGCCTTCACTATCGCCATTTTTTCTTGCTTATTTTAATCTAGCGTGGTGTGCCCTTTTGAGCGGATTTCATAAGAACCCTCCACAATCCACACTAGAGTTCTCACCCCCCCTTCACCCTTGTGCTGGGAATGTCGATCATTCTGTCATACTGTTACGCAATCCTCCTTCCATAGGTCCTATCAGTCTCCCTCTTGCTCCGTAGGATCCATCTTCTATCTCCCTAGTTCAGGTATTTGATTCGACTCATGCCACTGCATCTGTGCTCCACGGGTTGTTATTTCCTACAATCTGCCTCTGACAGACTAACTCGAGGCTAAAGTCTTTCTATTATGAACCACGTCTATTGTAAAATAGGCCTACGGTCAGTCAACTAGCTCCAGTCTTCGCCTCAACATTGAACATAATCAAAGCAAGCAAGAAAAAATTGTGATAGTAAAGGCGTGATATGAGAATATAGGATAGGTTTATGGCCCATGACAGAAGGAGAGATACCACAACTGTTTAGCACACATTTGGTCAAAGGATCGGCTTCCCTTGTCCGTTTAACAAGTTGTAGTGTGGTGCTAAGAATGGCAACACTCACTGAAGATGCCGGCGAAACGTCTGGGAATGTACCACGTCCACAGTCCGACTCTGGAAATTACCATGCATACAATGATATCTAGACTAAATGCGTTCCTCTAAGTTTTACTATCAATATGACCAAGTTGCGAAACAAGCTCAAACTATTTCCATACAACAGTTTATATGTTTAAATTTACTAATTTAGAAAGGTAAATCACCTGGCTTTCTGTTGATTTAGACCGATGGCATATAATCTCTGCGTCTGCACATTAATATGCGCTAGTCGTGCCCATGGAGCAAGACTTGGCTCAAGGGCAATCCGTAGCCATTCATTTGGATTTGTTACTAAAGCCAGCCAATCTGAATAGAGTTTATTCGGTCTCATTGCCTCTTGAACCAGGCCTGGTATCTTTGGTCGCCCATCGGGCAGAAGTAAAGTGAGCATCACTTCATACCCGACAGAAGACGGAAGATGACGATCTCTGCTAGCTGACGCAATCTGAGATAAATTATCTTCATCCTGAGTCCAAAGGGACCAAATTGACTCGTGAACCTTCTGAAGAAAATTTAAATAATCTTTATATGAAATGAATTTCATGCAACCGCTACACACTGTACAACAACCACAAAGGAGAATGCTTTAGTATCAAACGAAACTATGTTATCGTCTTTAAACGAGGATCACATTTAGACGCTTCAGTGACTCAAGTGTTTAATAAGGAAACATCGAGGAGGAAATTAAGAGGTCTTTGCTATGCAATGAAATTATATACAACTTTAGATACATCTCATATATACAAACTTGTTTCCCGAATGGCTTTTTAATCATCTGAGGCACAACTTATGGGGAAAATTAACGGGAAGATGATAAATTCTGATTTAATCTAGGGCAACCTAACTATCCGAC